ATGGGAGATCAAAAATGTGCGGCCGTAGGACAGCATTTGACCTTGAGAATTGAACGAATTTATTTGATAACGTGTTGAGGATAGAACGCAGTTTTCCATTTTAAAATCACGAAAAAATCAGGTGGCAGATTTTGGCCTTTCTGAAGTCAAAATCCCGCGAGGATTGACTATACGTAGTGTCGGAAGCAACAAACACCCGCCAACAACACAACAATTTAGACGCTCCGTTTGGATTGAAGCCACATTTAGTCCAGTGCAAACTGATATGAACTGAACAAGAGTCATGTGCTCACAGGGGCACTTGACAGAATGGTAGTTCACTCGGAAGAACACGAATTCGCCGTCGAACCCGCTACTATGGTTAAGGACTTGGGGGTCATAATATTGAACAACTTTAAGTGGTCTGACTAATGTCAAGTAGCGGCGCGCAGGGCTAGGGTGGACCTTTCTCATTAGAAAGAATGAGACTGCGAGGAGACCTGATAGAAACCTTCAAAATCATGAAGGGAATATCGGGGATAGAAGTGGACAGTCTCTTAACATTATCTCCACAACACGGCACTAGGGGTCATGAGCTCAAGCTCATGAAGCAGAGGTGTCGACTAAACATGAAGAAGCACTTTTTCAGCAATAGGATAGTCGACAGTTGGAACAAGCTTCTTCAGGAAATCGTCGACCTCCGAACTGTGCAAACATTTAAGACTGCACTCGATAGGGTGGAACTATTCCCATCACTGGCAGTGTAGACGTGTGTTGGTGTGCCAAATGTTTGGGATGCCTTTTCCCCTTTTACTGGTACGCGCATGGAATACTCACGTCTAATAATTCACTCGCCATCTTGGTGAGATGAGATTTTATTTTTCATTCTTATTTCAGCAATGCTAGGTGCCCACGTTGTGAGCATACCATCGAAGGAATTCTGGACGCTCGATTGGCTGTGGCCACATTCAGGCCTGTGCAACCTGACCTGACCAGACCTGGCAGAATTCCGTGATCGGTGCTGGCTTGTAGCGGATTTTAAGATTTTGTACGCTACGCAGGGAACAGTCAATTTTGGTCTTAATTTCCGAAAACTTAATTTAGTTTTCTTTCTTTCGGACATTCAGAAAATAATAAATATTGTCATATAACCTTAAGGAACCCAGTAATCACACGAGTTAGGTTTGTTTTCAGTTCTCCGAACCATACCTTCAGATCGATTTTCTTTATCAAAATACTAGGCACCGGTTCCCTCACCCCCGGTTGGATTCCGGAGCTCAGTGTGCAAACTTTATTGGTTATGTCTTTTCCGCTTACTTTCTCTCGGATCACAAATACTGCTTTGTGATGGAAAGCTTCAACCCAGAGCATCTTCCTTTTAAAGTCAGGTCGAAGCTAGCGGAGTTGGAGCTTGAATTATCCGAAGGTGGGTTGGAAATAATTGTCGCGTCTGCAGTATTGTTCTTCATACTTCATGGACCGATTGTTTTGCACTTGATCGCTGAGCAATTTAATCAGAGTATTCCGTATTGCTTTTTTCACTGCTTTATGTGGTACCACTTGCAGGCTATTTTACTAGGCACGTGTTGCAATCCGTTGCTGGTAATCCGGCTTAGTGAGCGTTACAGAAGGGCGCTGACACATTTTTTCTCGTTTTTTGGCGAGCTCTGCTCTTATGATGTGTCTGTGCCCCATATGATAACGTCATCTGCGTGCATAGAAATCGTTAAGTGGATAAACATACGGAGATCGTTTATGCAAATGAAGACAGTATCGAACCTAGGAGGAACGTTGGGAGATTCCAATGGAGACTGGGGCTACGAAGAGACGGGCGTACCCTATTGGACCTCAAAAAAAACAGTTAGGTAGAAAGCTGGTCAGGAAGGAGAGCAATCGGCCTGTAATTCCATGTATCTCCAGATTGTGCAGGAGGAAGATGTGTGACGCTGTCGAAGCGTCAACAAATTGATAAAGACTGTGTGGGAAATGTCTTTCATCATAGACGTGGGCTAAGCTGTCCGTCACGATCAGCTTACCAGAGTTGCATAACTTGTCTGGAATAAAACCGTGTTAGAAAAGATGTACCATACCTTTCTGCTAGATGCTTCACGATACACCGGTTGAGGCGGCATTGAAAGATCTTGCTGGGAATGATGGTCAGGGTGATGAGTCTATAACTTGCTGCGAGATGCCAATCAGGTATCTTAGATTGGGAGTGCAGTCGCTTTATTCTCTACTGTGGCAGTGTTCCTGTCTTCTAGCCTTCTCTGACACCATTCAGAGGGACAAATATCCGCGAACAACAAGCAAAATTGCCACCAGGCCGCGGTTGAATAGGCCGGATCTTCACGCTGCGTCAAGTCCTCGACCTACATTATACGCACTGTCGACCAACCATTGCGGTGTTCCTCGACCTAAAACGAGTCTTTGACTCATTTGACCACGAATCTCTAATGGGTTCGCTAAGGAATGCCGCAGAAGTACGTTAACTTACTGAGGTCACTGCTCGCATAATTGTGATAGCGTAAAGGTCTATTGAGAGCTGAGCAGATCATTCGTAACCAGCAGCTGTGTTCGTCATGGGTGCCCTCTTTGACCATTCCTGTTCACTTTCGTCATAGACAAAATACTGGAAAACGCACTAAGTGGTCTCCAAAACGTAGGTGTTGAATGGAAAGCTGGAGAAAAACTGTGCGACCTAGAGTACGCTGGTGACATGATCATCATCATCGTACAGCGAAATGTAGTGCGGCGAACTTCGCTTATCGCTGCTAAACCGGCAATGCATACAAGATTAGCGGTTATATTCTAGGTGGATAGGGATTGGACCTATTTCGAGGAAGGGGAAAGAAAGTGAACCTCTATAGTCGACACAGAGCACTCAATCGAACTCTACATATATACCGTTTCAAGCATTCTGGCCTGATAAGAAATGACAAGAACGCCACTGCTGTTGATTCGCTGCCATATCCTTCAGTGTCTCGAACCAACCGGTTGTAGAGTCTTACGGATCCCCAACCTTTGTTTCACTCCTTGTCTTCCGTTCCGAACCCTCTCCCTTTACCCCTCCTTCCAACCCGTAACATTCCCTCAGACAACTTGTTCGCCCTCTACTGCGACTGCGCAAGTACTGCCATTTGATGCCAATCCTCTATCTGAAATGGAGGTTTCCCGGGAAATAAGCTATCTCAAAAGGCATAAGGCCTCCGGCCCAGACGGGCTCTCTCCATTCGTTTTTAAGGATGGAGGTTTAGCATTGGTTTCGGAGTTAACGAAACTCCTGGGCTCAGTGTGGGAGAGGGATCAGGTTCCAAGTGAATAGTGTGAATCGATGATCATACCGATTTACAAAAAAGGCGACAGGTCCTCTTGTGAAAACCACAGAGGAATTAGTTTAATTAACATTGCCTCTTAACTCCTCGCTGGGACCATACTCCGTCGATTGTCTGCCGCTCGTAAAGAGTGAACACGTGAGAAGAACTGGTCGAGGTTGTATCGACCACATCTTCACTCTTCGCCAAACTCTGGAGCACCGACATTCTTNTATCTCTGTCTTTCTCAACTTGAAAGCGGTCTTCGACTTAGTCGACCGCCCTGAACTCTGGCGCTGCCTTTCCCTGAAGGATGTGCCCGAGAAGTTTATTTCAATATTACAATCCCTCTATGATAATAGCCCAGACCGAGTCCGAGCTTACGGCACTTTTCCCCCCGAGTTCACCACGGAAAGTGGTGTTCGACAGGGTTTCCCTCGCTCCATTTCTGTTTAACTTTGTTATAGATTTAATTCTTGAAACAGTCCTATCCTCGTGCATGGATAGCGGCATCAATTTACTTCCAAGTGGCAGACTGTCTGATCTAGAGTATGCAGACGACATTGTGCTACTAATTGAAGATTCAGGTGAGTTGCAAGCCTTTCTGGATATTTTGAGTGTTGCCGTGTTCGGTATGCGTTTTGTACCTTCAAAGTGTAAAATGCTACTACAAGACTAGCACCCAACCTCACTCTAATTGGGGAAGTAATAAAGCAGGCGGATAAGTTTTGTTATCTGGGCAGCTAGATCTCATCCGGTGGACGCATCACGGATGAAGTGTCGGCGCGAATACAAAAGGCTTGATTAACATTTGCCAACTTGAGACACCTGTTGCGCCGTCGCCACATCCGGTTGTCTGTGAAGGGTCGAATATATGCTGCAGCAGTTCGGCCAGTTCTGCTTTACGGTGCAGAAACTTGACCACTACGGGAACAGGATAAAGAGAGACCGTCGGTGTTTGAACACCGCTGTCTACGCAGCATTGCACGAATCTGGTGGGGAAACCGGACGGGCAATGCTGAGGTCAGGCGCAAAGTTTTAGGCAACCGCTGTCGCCCACTGGAGCAAGTGGTTGACCTCCATAGACTATTTTGGTTGGGGCATGTGTTACGCATGTCACCAGATAGGTTGCCACGGCGAGCGATGTTCGCCGAGGCAGGTAGTGGGTGGAATAAAGCCAAGGATGGTCAAGCTAAGACCTGGCACGAGGGTATGTAAACCCTAACCAGGAGTCTGGTTCATACAGGTCCCGTTAGGCTTCCTGGATGGGGACCTCGGGATAGTCGTAACTAAGTGATATAGCTAGGTGTCGCAACCAGTGGCGTTCGTGCATCTCAAATTTTCTGCATCATTAGTCCACTGAACTTTTCAATTTTCTCTTCGATCCTACTTTCAATCTTCTTATTTCCTCCTATTGTTCACCCAAATGGGTAGCCAAAAGACAGCAACCAAAAGCGTCGCACTGAAATGAATTCCTAATGGTTTTTTAAACTGAACTGTGCTTTATCACTTGATTTGTGTACATTGTGAGCTTGACAGCGATCAACGAAGTTCGCTTCATTGCATCTCGCTGTTCGATGTTGATGCCCCAACCAAAATAGTCTATTGTGGTCGGTCAATTTTTCACTGGGCGACCGCTGTTACCTAAAACTCTGCACCTAACTTCAGCATTGCCCGTCCGGTTTCCCCACCGGATTCGTGCAGTGCTACTTAGACAGTGGTGTTCAAACCGACTGTCTCTTTATCCTGTTCCCGTAGTTGCCAAGTTTCTGCACCATAAAGCAGAACTGGCCGAACTGCTGCAGCATATACTCGACCCTTCACAGACAACCGAATGTCGCGACGGCGCCACAAATGTTTCAAGTTTGCAAATGCCAGTCGGGCTTTCTTTATGCGAGCTGACACTTCATCCGTGATGCGTCCACCGGGTGAGATATAAGTGCCCAAATAAAAAAATGAGCCCACTTGGTCCATTACTTCCCCAGTTAGAGGCTGGGTGCTAGACCAACCCAGTCTCGTGTTATTATTATTATTATTATTATCATTGCTATATTTCACAGTTGTCTGAGGACAAACTGTGTCAAGCAAATCACGGTACAATAATGTTTGTAAAAAAGAAAATCATTCTATGATTGGCTTGTAGGCTGAATACTGCCAGCTTACCCAGTCTTGTAGAAACTCTTTACACTTTGAAGGTGCAACAGATTCAAACTGGGTTGGTGGAGCACTTCGAGCAGATGTTGCATCGTTCGTCGGAACAACACAAGCCTTTTCACTACAAAGATTTCAAACAGTATGAACTGTCATCCACTCATCTTAGCCGAAACTATTGCGATAGTGAACCCCATAAAAAAACAAGTGGAAGTTACCTAGGAGGACGTTATCTGGATGAGTCCACAGAGCCTGCTATCATGCAGTACTTTAGCATTCCGAAGTGCTGTTTAATTCGATTGTGAATTGATTCTCATTATCAAAACAAGGAATTTTTTATTATGAAGACTATTGCATTGCGATTTGTCCGGCATACTGGCTGGACTGAGATTCGATGAGATTTCCTTAGAGGCATATGACTGTTTTCGTGGTTCTTACCCTTCTTCAGGCATGTGTATCCATTTTTTGTATTTTTGTATTTTGTCACTTCATTCATATACTTGTACTCAGGAAGTATATTATCCACAAAATGACCTCAGTTGAGGCACCATATCATAATATCATATATACTACTCAGTAAACTATTCTATAAAGACGTTTGAGTCACATTTTTTGGCCGTTAGTTGCTCCTAATCCACAAACACAGCAACGGATCATAGTATTGATTCATGGGTCAACTGGTTCCGAAAGAAATGACCAGATAAATTCATCCGGTGCCGCGATGTTAAGGTTATTGAGAGGAGAATACACTACCTAGGTACATGTATCTGGATGAAGTGACAAAGTATTACCGGATAGTCATGCCTGATGAGTAGCAGGAACCGCGAAACCAGTCGTATGCTTCCGGGGAAATTTCGTCGAACACAAACGCACACACACACACATGCACATATATATATAATATATATATGAAACATTTGGATCCCGTAATGAATTTGATCAGGCAAGTCAGAAGAAATACGCTGCCAGAGGAATTCCTTTTGTATACTTTCACCGGTCGCGTACTTATAACATAGAACAAGATAGATGAATGAAAGGACTTGAGAAGTCTAGTTAGGTTAAATCATGTGTCTGCGTGTGATTGTGTACTGTATGTGTGTGTGTGTGTGTGTGTGTGTGTGTGATGCACATGATTGGGTACGTCCAGGGAAGGGCAAGGTCATACGCTCTTGGACAGCGTGGATTT